TATATATATATATATATATATATATATATATATATATATATATATATATATATATATATATATATATATATATATATATATATATATATATATATATATATATATATATATATATATATATATATATATATATATATATATATATATATATATATATATATATATATATATATATATATATATATATATATATATATATTTTCTTTTGCTCTTCGTGCTAATTATTCTGTGTAGTGGGCGGGTAAAGGGATCTAGCTGTTATATGATTCGTCTTCTGTTGCGCAAAAATAATATACAACTACAAAAAAATAAAAATAAAACAGTAAAAAGTCACCGTGTGCGAAAATCTCTCAAATATATATACTTTTATCTTACATTTTTTCTTTCACTACTCGTACCAATCATTGTGTAGTGGGCGGGGCCAGCGATCTAGCAGTTGTTTGATTTGTTTTCTCTCGCGCAAAAGTAATAATAATAATAATAATTACAACAACGAAAAAAAAAACAGTAAAAATTCACCGTGTTCATAAATCTCTCAAGAATATATTTTTTTCTTTTCTTTTTTTTTCCTTTCACTCCTCATGTCAATCATTCTGCGTAGTGGGCAGGGCCAGGGATCTAGCAGTTGTCTGATTCGTCTTCTCTCGCGCAAAAAAAAAACAAAACATAAAAAAAAAAAATCACCATGTTCGAAAATCTCCCAAATATATAGATTTTTTTCTTTTTCTTTTTTTTTTCCTTTCACTCCACATGTCAATCATTCTCCCTAGTGGGCGGGGTTAATGGGGTCTAGCTGTTGTCTGATTCGTCCTCGGCTTCGCGCAGCCAGGTGAAGAAGGCGGTGACTGATTTGAGGGCGACGCCTTTGCCCTGTTGCTCCGCAGGATCTTTACTCGACTCCCAGCGGTAAAAACCCTCCTCTTTTATCACGTCCTCATCATACAAGACATCGAAGAACATTCGCAGCAGATCTGCAGAGACAAGTTAAACACACCTATTAGTTTACAATCAATGTAATTACAAAAAAAAAAAACGTGCGCTCCGCCAGCCAGTGTTTACACCACTGCATTAATATCACTAAGTAAGTGCATAGTGCAGAAGTGTATACGAGCATATTGTGTAAGTGCATAGTGTATAAGTTAATAAGTGTATAAGGATATTTGTGCAAGAGTCCGTATGTGCATAAGTGTATATTGTGTAGTGCACTCACTGGGCGGCTGCTCCATCTGCACCATCAGTGCCTGTAGAGCGTAGAGCGCCTGCAGCTCCTTCTGCTCGTCTTTAATGTAGCGCTGCAGCAGCTTCGCCCGCTGGCTCATCTCTTTAGTGTCCACTTTATACGGATTGTCACCTTGGAAATCAACATAAGCATCACTGCGTTAATTCAAGGGGTCAGGAACAGCATTTAGGAACACTTAAAACAACACTTCTGTTTAGCTGACACAGAGATTCCCAAATTAAGATTCATAATTGGTTCAGATTTTGATTAAAGATTACCAAAACAATGGTCATTTTTTCATCAATTGTTCACATTATGCCTAACAATGTGCTTCATATGGCAAATTTGGATTCCATGCAAACTTTAAACATGTTAAGAGCGACTCACAGATGATGGAGGACTGGCAGACGGAGGTCATCAGCACGCGCACAAGCATGTTAGACGTGGCCTGCTGCTCGTCCAGATTAGCCTGAACGGAAAGCCAAAAAACACATCAAATCTGTAGCTTTTACTTCTGGATTCAATCAGAAAAAGTCTCTTGTGCAATTGAAAAATGTTTGCATTGAAAGTCTCTCTTGATGATGACAAATCCAAATGTGGAGAAATATATAGAGATCAGGTAAGGCAGACTTGGTCCTGGAGGGCCGGTATCCTGCAGAGTTTAGCTCCAACTTGCCTCAACACACCTGCAAGGATGTTTCTTGAAAGCTTAGTAAGAGCTTGATTAGCTAGCCCAGGTGTGTCTGATTTGGGGTTGGAACTAAACATTGCAGGACACCGGCCCTTCAGAACCGAGCTTGAGCATGCCTGAGGTAATGTCTTGAAGGGATACAGCTGTGGATACTCGCATTACTATAGCATAATTCATGTGACACAGCACAACATATATTTACATCACTGTGAGGGTTGGGTTTAGGGTTTGGGTAGGGGTTGACATTAATAAAATACAATTTTACCAGGTAATTTAATAAACAATATGAATAATACTAGGCTCTTTTAAATGACTGTGATGGTTAGATTAAGGGTTTGGATAACGGTAGATGTAAATAAAATGCAATTTAATGAGTCATTTAATAAATAATATAAACATTATTCAGTATACTTACTGTTTTTACATTAATGTAAGTGTTGGGGTAGGGGTTGACATTAATAAAATACAACTTTAATAGGTAATTTAATAAATAATATGGATAATACTAGGCTCTTTTAAATGACTGTGATGGTTAGATGTAGGGTTTGGGTAACGGTAGATGTTAATAAAATGCAATTTAATGAGTCATTTAATAAATAATATGAACAATATTCAGTATAATCACTGTTTTTTATTACTGTAAGTGTTGGGGTAAGGGTAGACGTTAATATAACACAACTAATAAATAATATGAATAATACTAAGCAAAATTATTCTTAAATGACTGTGATGGTTGGATATAGGGGTTGGGGTAAAGGTAGATGCTAATAAGATACAATTTGTTGAGTAATTTACTAAAGAGTATGAATAATTCTCGTTGACTTCAGGCTGCAGCTGTATCTCTTCTAGCAGCACCCACTGTCAGAGATGAGAGGTTTGTTCTGGTACCTCGAGCCAGTCCAGGATCCTCTGGTTATCTGCTTTCTCCTGCAGGAGGCGCTCCAGCTCTGCAGAGATCTGTGCGGGACTCAGAGACGACTTACTGCCCTCAAACACAGACTCCTCGCCCAGAACTGTGAACTCCACAGCCTACACACACACAAACACACCACACACACAAACACAACACACACACGCACACACACGCACACGCACACATGCGCACACGCACACACGCACACACACACACACACACAAACACACCACGCACACGCACACGCGCGCACACGCACACACGCACACACACACACACACACACACACAAAGAAATAGAAACAAACATGCGCACACATGGATGCAAACACACCCCAAGGGCATACAACACACACAAACATGCACAATGCGCACACACATTCACCCAATCAAATACACACAGTAATAAATGCGTGTACACAAATTAACAACACACACAGTCATGCATGCGCACACACACATTCACACAAACATGCATTAACGCACACGCATGCAAACACACAAATCCATACACATGCACAATGCATATGCCAAAAAAGTGCACACATATGCACACAAATACAAACACACACAAAGAAAATGCAGACGCACAAACACACACATAACAAAATAATGCATGCACACACAAACAAACACAAATTCATACACACACATGCAAACACACACAAACCAAATTTATGCACACACACACACACACACACACACACACACACACACACACACACACACACCATATAAGAGCATTAATTACAGAAAATAATCAATAATCAATAACTCTGATCAATAATCAATAGGTCTGACCTGCTCGGTGACGAACTTGTTGACGTCCTGGTCATCAGGCAGAAACTCTCTCCAGTTCAGTCCAGCTTCTCTCCACATCACACCGGCCTTCTTATGACTCTGACCATCACAGAACACACACACATTTCACATTCACTACTGCCCATTAACACCGCTTCATACGCAATGCAGTGCTTATGACAATATGTATGATGTGGACAAAATTAAAAGCCTATGGTGTCACAAAACACAGTGTTTAAGCTAATACCTCTTCATAATTTATATGAGTGCATTAGTACTGGGATGCAGACTCCGTTTGTTTTAGTTTTTAATCTGTTTTCTAAAGCAACATTCTTATATTGAAAAACTTCAAGCATTCAGAACACAAAGCAACCATTATTCCTTATTAAAGGTCCTGAGAAGTGCTTTGAAATGGGCTTTTTTTATTCGATGTTTGACGTAATCTCAAACAAAACATGAAGAGTGGGCGGGGCATATAGTAGCTCCTCCCATATTTGATTAAATAGCCAATAGCGTTTTTTTATCATCACAGCTCTGCTAGTGAGAGTAGTTGAGCTCAAGCGCATCAAATGAAAAGCCAATGAGAAGAAAGGGGCGGGGCTTGTCAGATACTAGAGAGCATTTGATTTGTCAGAAGATTTGATGGTAACCTGAAGTATGAGGTGACCGCAAAAAAATTTTTTAATGCATTTAGACAAGCTGCAAGCTTTAGATGTTCAGTTTTATATTTTCTAAATGCAATTTGCCTCTGTTTTGGAGCACACTAGCTCATAGATATCCTTAAAGGGCACCTATTTATCTCCACTTTCAAGATGTCTCTGGTGTCTCCAGAATGTGTCTGTAAAGTTCCAGCTCAAAACACCCATTAGATTATTTATTAGACCTTTCTGAATCTGGGAAATTTGATCTGTTAGGACATTGTAGCTGTTTTTGTTGCCTGTGCCTTTAATGCAAATGAGCTGGTTTTCCCCACCCACCATTCCCACATGCCTGTCAGAGCCTGTCATAAGCTGCGTCCAAAATGGCACACTATACACTCATATACTTTGTACTTATGCACTTACACACTCAACAGGATAGTGTATGTATGTAGTGTCGTCCCAAATGCCACACTAATGTTTTTTTTTACTAAGCAGAAATTTAAACCATTTCCCTGATGATGTTTGACGGTTGCCAAATCAGTGAAATAAACGACTGAATGATCAAATATTACCTGCCGTGAGTATATCTGCATTCACCATCGGGAGGCGCTATAATCACTCTCGTAGGAGAATTTTGCTTTCACCATCCAAAATAAATAAAGTTATCCAACATGTGCGCCCGATAGCTCCGCCCCTTTTGCTACATAAGCAAACCTGCGGTCGTTGAGTGCGTGAAGTGTCCATCATCACACACTTCATTTTATCGGCTGAATGAGTGCATCATCCGGGTAATTAAAGTGCTCTTATTATTTTAAGAGTTTTCAGTGTGAACACACTACTTACACTATTTATACTACAAAATGCCGTAGAATAGTGCATAAGTATGCGATTTGGGACGCAGCTATAGAGATCTCTCTGTATTGCTCTGATGCATGTATCCTTCATGTAGATAAACAGCACAGTGACAGACAAGAATGAAGCGGATCTCCCTTACTAAAGTAACAACTTTCCCAATGGCTATTTGATATATTTGTTGTGGAGTTAATTCAAGCCTTTCTGCAACGATGAGTCACACACAATGTCAATATAAAGTTTGTGCACTCACACACAAACACGTTTGCACTGTTTTTGCACAGCAAATGTGACAGGATACAGGTTAATGTCCACTGCTGTATGGACAACTGTTATATTAATGTACAGAATTAACCTGGTTTGACGTCCACAAACCGGAACTGAAGCGTCTTCTGTTTTAATTGTACTGACATGTGGCGGTGGTGATGAATTACACGTGATTTTACTGTATTTATGACAAGCATGCTCTGTTTTAATCTTGTGAAACTCATTCTCAAGGTGCTGATGATCACAGAGAGCTGAACAGATCTTTTAATCGCAGCTGCTTTGTGCATGTCCTGTCTTATTTATTTGATTATACGCGTTACTATGTAGACTAGGGTTGGGTTGATTGACGATGCCATCGTCCATCGCCGATGGCCAATAGACAACACGATGTTGAGCCGAAATCGGTGATTCTCCGCCCCGCCCCTGTCGCAAACCTGCTAGTGGAAAATACACACTCAGGCCCCGTTTACACTAATACGTCTTGGTGTAAAAATGTCATTTAAGAACGAAAATGATCCACACCGTGGTTACGTTTCTGAAAAGCCCTACGTCTGCTGAAAACGCACATCACGTGACCACACACACACGCACTGATATGCTCTCCTCTAAGCTTCAGGGAGAGCAGTGCATGTCGGACAGTTTATCAAGGGTGTACCGCTGGATCGTGTCTCCCTATAGTTGTTCAACGTGATATTCAGACATCCCGAGTCTCCCGGAAGTTCCGGGAGTCTCTATGCATTTGCGGGACTCATAATAAGTGAGTCATAATCTCTCGAAAATGGCGCGTCTCCCTCCCGGTCCTCAAATAAGTCGCGCACCCTTCACACCCCCGCATCCCTCCTCGCTCTTCTGATACATCGCGCGCACTCTGTCAACACCCCCTCCTCACATGATGATGATGATGGCATCGTCCATCGCGATGTTTCACTTTAGACATCGTACGATGCCAAATTGGTCGACATCGCCCAACCCTAATGTAGACATGTTAATACGCAGCTGTCAATCAATTCAGTGGGAGGGGGAAACCACACTCCTACATCACGCTGTGGTGGGCCTCAAAATTGATTTGGATCCTATTTTAACATCAGGAAATTTGATAAAAAAAAGAGACTTATTGCGTTTCTATCACTCCAGTATGACTGTAGACACACTTTACCTACACACAGTTCTGTCGAAATTTTTCGTATTTTCATCATAGGTGCCCTTTAAAACTCACATACAGACACTAACATCTAAAAAACTTTATTTCAATTTCATTTTTATAAATAAGAGGTTTGCACATGGCGAACAGCTGAATGACAGTGTGTTAATTCCTACCATTCCTTTGCAGAGCTGCTTGAGGATCTCCACCAGCAGGACTCCAGCTTTCCCCAGCGGCAGCAGAGGTTTGCTCAGCTCCCTGCAGAACAGCACACGCTCAATAACACACAATGAAAGCTCTTTTCCAATGGGGTTTTTGTACAAAACATCATGCAAAATTTCTATCATAGGACTCATTTCTATTTCTGTCTCATTGCAGCAGAACAACAACATAAACTGTGCCGGCAGCTAGCTCTCTGCAACTCTCACATGGTCGCCCACTGAAGCTAAGCAGGGCTGCGCCCGGTCAGTACCTGGATGGGAGACCACATGGGAGAGCTAGGTTGCTGCCAGAAGTGGTGTTAGTGAGGCCAGCAGGGGGCGCCCAACCTGCGGTCTGTGTGGGTCCTAATGCCCCAGTATAGTGACGGGGACTCTATACTGCTCAGTGAGCGCCGCCTTTCGGATGAGACGTTAAACCGAGTTCCTGACTCTCTGTGGTCGTTAAAAATCCCAGGATGTCCTTCGAAAAAGAGTAGGGGTTTAACCCCGGCATCCTGGCCAAATCTGCCCACTGGCCTCTGTCCATCATGGCCTCCTAACCCTCCCCATATCATAATTGGCTACATCAATCTGTCTCCTCTCCACTAATCAGCTGGTGTGTGGTGTGTGGTCTGGCGCAAAATGGCTGCCGTCGCGTCATCCAGGTGGATGCTGCGCACTGGTGGTGGATGAGGAGATTTACCAAATAATTAAATTATAAACTAACATGGCAATGATGGCCTCAGGTACTGATTATGGGCTTTATTCAGTGTTAAATGCTGTGTTTAAATACATTTTACATGGCATTTATTGCTATACTACTGAAAGCAGCAGCAGATAGTTCACCTCAGATGTTAAAAATTAAATAACTAGCTGACGGTTTGACAATGAACGAGTCAACATGAGACACTCAGCAGCCTATTAATACTGTTAAAAAGCTTTAATGTGTGTTAATTACATTAAAAGCCTTTACCATTTAGTTTGGAGTGCAGTAGCTGGAGTTTTAATGTTTATATCACCTCACATTTGGTGCAGACAGACAAATTGCTTGTCACTAGAATCTTGTAAACGTATATATTGCAAAGATTAATCCCGATTAATTGCATTCAAAGTACATAAGATATGTGTGTGTGTATTATATATTACGTATGTATATGTAATAGACACAGTTGCAAAATAACTATACAAAACTTTTTATTTTTTTAAAGCAGTTATTTAAATGTATCATTTGTTTCGCATGCATACATGTTTTGATTTAATTAAATTAAAGTTCATTTATACAGCACTTTTCACATTAATTTTTGTCACAAAAGCATTACAATCAAAATCTAAAAAGTTAAGGTCATTAGTTATCATTACTTTGTTGGTAACACTTTACAATAAGGTGCATTAGTTAAAGTATTTACTAACATAAACAACACATGTACAGCATTTATTAACCATAATTAAACATTTATTAATGCATTATTAACATCCAACTCTGTGCTTGTTAACATTAGTTAATGCACCATGAGTTAACATGAACTAACAATGAACTACTGTATTTTCATTAACTAATGTTAACTAACATGAACAAACACTGTAGTAAATGTATTGTTCATTGTTTGTTCATGTTAGTAAATGCGTTATTTAACATTAACTAATGAACCTTATTGTAAAGTGTGACCACTTTATTAGTTACTAATAACTTTAATTAACTAGTAACTTTTAACAATTAAAGTTATTATATACAAGCATAGGTGACCTGCAGTTATATAGTGAATAGGTGATATCTATGTGTGTAGATGTTCAATGAAGTGTATTTTATCAGCATGTATTTACAGTTGAAGTCAGAATTATTCGATCTCCAGTTTATTTTTCCCCCAATTTCTGTTCAATGGAGAGCAGATTTAATAATAATAATAAAAAAATAATAATAATATATATATATATATCAGGGCTCGAAATTGACTATTTTACTTGGTAGCACCGGTGCTCCCAATTTCAAAAATTTAGGAGCACCAGAAAAAATTTAGGAGCACCCACCAAAAATGATTGAGCACCGCTGCAAATTGTATTTTAAGGGACTTATTGTATTTTAAAACAACATCAATTAGGACTAACAAAAACCAGAAACTAACTAATTAATGCTGAGATGACATTGATATTTGTGTGCAATAATTCCAAAATGTGTATGTCTAATAATTATAGAATATTAATGATGATGAAAATGACAATAATAGTAACTATGAATTACATTTCTCATCATCATGCTGCCTTGAATGTGCATGAATGAAAGTTATCTGCTATAAAAAGTCTTTTATGAAAAATAATTGTATAGTTTGCATCAAACAAAAATGAAGCATTGCAGTAAGAAATACTTATTTTGTACTGCTGTTTATATATGCATGTCAGTTTAATAAATAATATTTCTGCTACAAAACAAACAAAAGATTAAAATTAATAATTAAATTCAAGGCTGAAAGCTGCAAAACAGTCATCAGTAACTAAATAAAAAATAATATACACCTCAAGAAAGAATAGGCAAAAGAAAGTAAACTCACTTCTATCACTCTTTAAAAGTTTTGGTTTCAGTTTGTGTCAATTTAAATGTTCAGTTTGAGCTGATTTTCATTTTTCTGTGTTTGTGGAAAAGCAGGCGAGTCAGCCGACCCAATTCATGAGCAGGTTGAGCACCGGCGCAATACCGCTGTTTGTTATGAGACGCAGTTTCAGTGTAAACTTAGTAAAGGCGAGCTTCTTTGGCGATGATACAGTATTAGATTTGACTTTTAGCGGACATTTGCGCTGAACACGCAGTGAATGCAACGCATCGAGATTCGGCCACCTTCTCCGAAAAGCACATACTTGATTGATCTCAGCTGGCGGATCATTATTCACCACGTGTCATGATCGCTCTCATCTGCGCCTCAACTTTAGGTGGGGTTTGCACTTTGCAAACTTGTGTGCTTTAAGTTTTCACTCTTTAGCCGTTTGCATTTCCCCATGGTCATAAAAGCTCCCTCCCTGTCATTTAACAGTGGAAAGCCTTGAGTGATTGACAGCTAATATAAACCAATAGAGCGGCAGGGAAGAGCGATTCAGCACGTTTTTAGATAAAAATCAAAACAGATCGCACTAATGCGCCCAAATATATTATGAGGTCGCATCGATTTATTTTCGGGCGCATATGCGACCAAAATGGTCGCAATTTCGAGCCCTGCATATATATAAATATTTTCTCAAATATACGCATGCTTGTGTATTTTTATATTAATATACACGTTTATTTTGGATGCAAACATTTTTTGCCCAGCACTTAAATGGATAAAAACGTTATTTGTCTGATGTCAGCAGCATCAATGGTTCACATCAACTTAAGGGTGAATTTAAATCGTCAGCCAGTCAGATCACGCCATGCAAATACCCTAGAGCAGATGCTAGCCAATCAGATTTAAGCAACACTGGAAAAGTAATGTTGTTGTGTCCAAAACCTCCTACTACTCAGTTGTAGTAGTAGTGGCAGTACTACATCAGTTTCGTCGCTTCACTCCCATTCATGAATTCTCTCATGGGGCATCATGGGAAAGCAAAGCGTGCATGGGATGCGCACTTCAGAATCTCACCGGAAGTAGTAAGACATCCAAGCACTTCTCGCATACTACTTTTCTAATTCTATAAATTCTGACATACTACTCGGCTCGCATACTGATTTTAGCGTACTGTATAGTATGGAAGTATGCGGTTTCGGATGCAGCCTGTGATTGGCTGTTGTGCTTTATCTGGCGGAGTTTTAATGTCTGTCATGTTGTGTGGTGTAGACAGACACATTGCTTGTTTCCTGTAATCTTGTGTTGTTAGGACACGGTGGATAACATTCACTCACTCTTCTACCTGTGTGTGTGTGTGTGTGTGTTTTCTCACCTGAAGAGCGGCCCCATGGGAATGCCTCCTTCATGCAGCATTGGGCAGATCAGCTCCGCCAGATACAACCAGATATGAGGGATATCTATAGCCATGTCCTCCGCCACCTCCAGCACCTCCATCAGCCTGACAAACACACACACACACACACACACACACACACACACACACACACACACACACACACACACACACACACACACACACACACACACACACACACACACACACACACACACACACACACACACACACACACACACACACACACACACACACACACACACACACACACACACACACACACCACATTTATTACATTGCATTGCAATGATTAACATTTTACTTTAGGTCACAACTCATGCTATTAACTACAAGCTTATTACCTGCCTATTGTTAAGATATTTAGACCCCCTAGTTTTTCGCGATCGCTGAATCCAACGCAAAATCAACAACAACAAAAAAATGTTTGCGATCCTACAAAATTCTTAATTCAAATGCGAAAAACATACATAAAAACCATCAAACATAAAATTCCAAACCATCTGATTAAATGTTTTACAAGACTTACAGACGTTGCATGCGCAGCGCACGTGATGTCTCTGAGGCCCCGTTTACACTAGTGCGTTTTAGTTTTAAAACGGCGTTTTAGAATGAAAACGATCCGCGTCCACACTCGCGTTTTACCCAGCGTTTCTGAACTGACCACACTCACACTCTCGGGCAAGCGCTGCAGCCCATATACCCAGATGAGAGCTCTGCTAGTCGGACTTCTCATCAAGCATCTCCCGCTGGATCTAATATCTCACTATATTTATTAAACGGGATATTTCATTTATCTTGTTGTCTTTATCTAACGACATATTCCCTGACTTTGGTCATAGGAATCTATTACTTGTTCTCAGGTAACGTGTTTTGGCTGAGCGCAAAGATAAGTTAATGATTAATGTAACCACGTACATTCTGTATATTGACTGATCGCTTGCCTTTATTTCCTATAATGTATAAACTTATTGTATGTTATACTTTTATAATGGCCATAATCGATTATTAAAACTGATACTCAGCAAAAGAGAGGCTGTGTTTCGTATTTTCACTGAAATTGAAAGGAGGCAGTTGTTATTGGCTCCGTTTTGTTATAAATATCCACACAGTGAAGATGACACTCATCTTATGCAGCACGACGCCTCAACATGTCTGCTGTCTAAGTTGCCAATATTAAAATGAAAATAGGCAGTTCCTTAAATCATGTTTACATTTTATTGTTGAGAAAGTGAAACAACGAAGCCAGTGTGATGTGAATGAAGTTATAAAGTACACTGTTCCCTTTGAAGATTTACCCGTGTCCTCGGTATAGTCTGTTTTCCATATCAAACTGAGAAGAAGAGATGCAGCCTTGATCAAACTTGCGAAGTCTGAACTTACACGGAGAGAATGCAGGACTGAACTGTGTGTTAGGCTACTTAATATTCAGGAAAAGCCCATATCAGAGAGGCGAACGTCAGCAGCCCCGCCTCCGTTTCCAGATGTCTCCGTTTTCCATCATCCACACTGAGACGGAGCAGCAGCATTTCACAATGAAAACGGCCTCTCCAGCGTTTTCGAAACGCTCCGTTTTCGGCGCTCGAGAACTCCGGCGTAGTGTGGATGGTTGGCGTAACCGTAGCAAAACTTGTGCGTTTTCAAACTAAAACGCATTAGTGTAAACGGGGCCTGAGTGTCTCTTTGAAAAGCGACGTCTCACCTGCGCCCTCACAATCATTACATTACATGGAAGGGGGGTGGCGGGTGGTGATTGTTTTGCAGCCTGCTCAGTAAGCAGATGCAATGAAGCGCGAGTGATTTACACGTGAAGTCAATGCAAACATGGGATTACACATCCTGTGGCGTTAATTGGCCGTTTTGTATTTGATGCAAATCAGACTGCAAAAAAAATGGGAGCAAACATCTAACAAATGGAGCAATGGAACAGACAGAACAGCAAGCAGCTTGCGGTGATGGAGATTGGCTCAAGAATGACGACTGCTGGACATGGACAACTTGAAGGACAATATTTGTGCTTTACATGTATGGCTGGTATTATGGTGTGTAAATGGTAACACTTTACAATAAGGTTCATTAATTAATGCATTTACTAACATGAACTAATCATGAACAACACATGTACAGCATTTATTCATCATAATTGAACATTTACTAATGCATTATTAACATCCAACTCTGTGCTTGTTAACATTAGTTAATGCACCATGAGTTATGAACTAACAATGACAAACTGTATTTTCATTAACTAACATTTACTAGCATGAACAAACACTGTAGTAAATGTATTGTTCATTGTTTGTTCATGTCAGTAAATGCATTAATTAACATTAATTAATGAACCTTATTGTAAAGTGTGACTGTGTAAATGATTTCGTGTAACTCTTTCCCTGCAGTTAACGAGAGAAAGACGCTTCCCCGCCACTGATGAGTTTTACGGCAATCCGTGTTTAAGGTGTATTACGATAGGGGGAGCCCTAACCCATGTCCTGAGTGAAGTAAATAATGTCAGATGCTCCAGGGAGTGAAATCTGAGAGAAAGTAAGATTGTGGATAAAAATATAAACTAGACAACCTTCCTTTGGCTTAATCCCTACTGTTTTAGATCTCGTCTTGACACGAGACCAAAATAAAGAAACTTTATTGTTGTGATTTGTGTCAGATTGCACACCAAACATAGTAGACTACCTAATCTGGTGTGTGTGTGTGTGTGTGTGTGTGTGTGTGTGTGTGTGTGTGTGTGTGTGTGTGTGTGTGTATATATATATACACACACACACACACACACACATCTATACATAGGCATTTAGAGGATTTTGCATATAAACTCTTTATATATGAATCACAAAATTGTCTGCAAATTTCTGGGAATTACCATTACAGAAAGATTGTAAAAAACTAGGAGGTCTTGATATTAATTGTCACTAGTGCAGTAGTTATAAAGTATGATCTTATTTTGCATCACTAATCCTATAAATATAAATAAATAACGAATGAATGACAAAAATGTAAATAGCAATTTAATTAAATAATTATTTTGCACAGAAAATATGAATTGAATTATCAATAAATGATTAAAAAAATAAAAAAAAGTTGAGTTTTGTTAAATCAGTTTTGCAGCATATATCTGTCATAATTAACATAATAATTAAGTTATTATATTATATTCTGTTTATTTTATCACATTTATATTAACAACATAATATATTAAATTACAATATATATTCCGTACCATTTATTAATATAATAACAAATTAGCTGTTATATTAACTACAGGATATTTGATGCACACCAGATACTAAAATTATCATAACATAAAACAATTTGTGAAACTTACTCCAGACATGTTTAGGGATTTAAAATAATGATAATAATAATAATAATAATAATAATAATAATAAAAATAAAACAATAAATAATAATAGTAATAATAAAATAATAAATAATACCAATAAAATAATAATGATAAAAAATAATAATAATAAAAATCATATAATAATAATAATAACAAAATAATAACAATAATAATAATAAAATTCATAATAATAAAAAAATAAAAATATAATAATAACAAAAAATAATACAAAATAAAATAATAACATAAGATTTAAAAAATATATATATATATATATATATATATATATATATATGATAAAATAATAATAATAACAACAATAATGATCATAATAAAATAATATAAAATAATAATATAATAGCAATAATAATTAATGATAATAATAAAAAATAACAATAATGAAAATTAAATAATACTAATACAACAATAAATAATAAAAATAATAATAATAACAAAAATGGTTATAATAAAATATTAATAATTATAAAATAATATAGCAATAATTATAAAATAATATAATAATATTAATAATAATAACAACCATCATTAAAACACCAATTCATGTTCCACAACTAGACTTCTAAATCTTCTTTAATATCTAAATTTTTATAAAGTTCAAAAACACCAAAAATTCAGAGATTATTATTGTTGTTATTATAACCACTAATATGACAGCATTGTATTTTACACGCTCACAAACATACACACTGTATTGGCGTGTGCACGTGACTGTGTGTGGATCTGCTCTCTCACCCTTTGTAGTATTGTTGTGTTGTTAGTGTTTGTGTTTTGAGCAGCTGGTGAAACAGTAAACCCAGGTGTTCCCTAGCGAGCGTGCTTCTCTCCAGAGTCGACTCGATTCCTGTGCGGACGAACACCGAGAGCAGAGACGAGCAGTTCAGCTCACTGACGCACTGCAGCGCCTCCTACAGCACAGGAGGAAGAACAACAACAGACGAAGAGTGAGATTTACTACTCAACTGTTTGTGTATACATGCTCAATGAAGTGTAATTGTGTGTACTCATGCATATATGAGTGTCACTGTGTGCGTGTGACAGTGAGTTTGTGTGTGTTTGTGCACAGAGTGTGTGCTTTTTTGTCAGTTAGTGTGTGTGTTTGAGAGTGCTTGAGTGATGTACAAGTGTGGATATGTTGATGAGTGAGTTATGTGTAGGCCGCGCAGAATTCCGCAGATTTTCCGCAGATTTCTGCAGATTTTTATTATTAATTCAGTTTTTTTACTAGAGTTAATGTGTAAATCTGAATTTATTCAGTTTTTATTCAGTAATTTATTACTTTTTATTTAATATATTAAGGTGTAAGTTATGATAGTCTGCTGGATACTCCCAAAATAATTCCGCTGAAATCCACAGATTTTTACCAAAACTCTCCGCAGAAATAGCAAAAAATCGTCCGCAGATTCCGTCTGGCCCTGGTTATGTGTGAGTGGTGGATGAATGTGTGTATTTGAATGATGTTTGAGTGTGCGTGAGTGATACATGAATCTGTGTTTTGTTTCAGTGTGTGTGTGGATGTCTGTCTGATGTCTGTGTGTATGTGAGTGCATGTGTATGTATGCGAGTTTGTCTGTCTGAGTGATTGTGTATGTCTGTTTAGTGTGTGTGTCTGTTTAGTGTGTGTGTGTGTGTGTGTGTGTGTATATATATATATATATATATATATGTGTGTGTGTGTGTGTGTGTGTGTGTGTGTGTGTGTGTGTGTGTGTGTGTGTGTGTGTGCTGACCGTCTTGAGTACATGCTCCCAGCAAGTTAATGATGTTCTTATGTTTCCCAATCATCTTCATCATCTCCATTTCAGACACAAGGTCTGACAGGTCTTTATCTGTGCCGTCAT